TTCTTTTTCTGGCTGAGTAATACACCACATCTTCGCTATCTGTTCATCTGTCAATCCACTCCCCCTGGCGTCCCCACACCTTCTGGCATGCGGATGTCAGGAACTGATGAATGCGAACGGCCGCTAAGGCAGGCATTTCTGTGCTTGATAATAGTGTTAAGCCTGCAATGGTCACCTGTTAATCTTAAAAATGAGAATGAAACTAAGTGTTCCTGACAGTGCTCTAGGAAACCCCTTTATTACTTGGGAAGTTTACCGATGCTTCCAAGGACTGTGAACTACTGACCTCTTAGCATTTCTACTTCTGAAATTAGATTTCTACTGTGAGTTATATTCAAATAAATTGAAATTTGGCTATTCTAGTTGCTACCTCATTTTTAGATTTACACAAAAGCTGCAAGGACAGGACTCAGAGCCCCCTTAACGCCCCTTACCCCACTCCCCTGTGGCCCACCTCTCACAGGACACTAGCGTGTTTGTGCAGAACACTGGGACTAGCTCCTAAACCTCGGCCTTGACTCTGATCTCACTGGGCCGCCCACTAACACCCTTGCAGGGCCTCACACTGCATTTACTCATGTCTCCTCTGTGTCCTCTGGCTGGGACAGCTTCGTGACACTTCTGGACCATTCCTCAGGTTGGCTCTGTTTGGTTTTACTGGTACAGTGTTTTTAAAGATGTGCCTCCGGCACTATGAGGATCAAAGAGACAGAAACTTAAAATATCTTGTAAATTATTCTTAGTAACTTAGGCACACACATCTCCTGTTCCATTCTGTCATCCATCACGGCTTACTTAAGTTCCATCAAATACAACGAGGTACTCTCCCGACTCTTCAATGTGAGCCTTTGGGGAAAGCAAGTATTAATGGATCTGGCCATTCCACGGGGCTGCTCTGGATGAAACAAGAAGCTGACATGAGTTTATGTTAGTGGAAGTTTCGCTGGCAATAGTTTGGAAGAAAGGACCCTGTACCGTAGCTGTTCCCGCCACACAGGAAGGACTTGGGTGGCAACCAGCGCAGCGCTGAAGATGTTTATGCAGAAGGTAAAGAAATGTTGGTCTATGGAAATGAACTACTGATTAAGTATTTAAGAAGCCAAGCAGACTTTACTTGCTGTACAAAATTACATTAGGAAGCAGGTGGGAAGTAAGTTCTGCTGAACTCAGGTGAGAACCACTCGATGAATCTACACCTACACCAAGCAGTAGCCACAAATTCTCTTCTCCCCCGCGTGCAACGAAATCAGCAGCGACTGAACTTCTCAAAACACAACTGCTCTTTATTTGGTTCAGGGCAAGTTTTCTCAAGTTCCCCACAGTCGGTGCCTCCCGTTCTGCTCCCGTGGAAGTCACGGCGCCCGGGCCCCATCACGGCACGTCCCTTACCCGCCCCCAGCACGGCCTGCTTGCAGCCTGTCCTCCGTGCCCTGAAAGCCGCACAGTGAGCAGGCCCGCGGCCTGCTGGGAGGGCCACCGTGGGGCTCAGCTGCCCTGACACCACTGGCAGGACAGGGAGGCCAGTCATCGGGACAGATCCGAGGGACAGCCTGCAAGAGGCCTGGAGGGGCGAGTCCAGTCAGGGAAGGGGGCTCGTGTGCGGTGCGGCAGGCGTGGAGTGGCAAGCACGCGGGGCTCTCGGAGCCACTCTCCTGAGCGGGCCTTCCCTACACGGCTCCCTGCTAACTCGGCTCATCTTCCCAGTTGCTCTTCGAGCTGTCCACTCTGTCACCCGAGTAAGGTCTACTTAACATTACCGAGTGCCAGGCACCATGCCACCCACGGCATCATCGGGGCCCTCGTGGGTCTTAAAATATAGTGGAGGCAGACAGACAAAAGGAAATAACTGTGAATCCGAATTTGAGAAAGTAAAGATTAAGACCCTGAGCAGGGGGGCGCCTGGGTGGCTCAGTCGTTAAGCGTCTGCCTTCGGCTCAGGTCATGATCCCGGGGTCCTGGGATCGATCCCCGCATCGGGCTCCCTGCTCAGCGGGAAGCCTGCTTCTCCCTCTCCCACTCCCCCTGCTTGTGTTCCCTCTCTCGCTGTGTCTCTCTCTGTCAAATAAATAAATAAAATCTTAAAAAAAAAAAAAAAAAAAAGACCCTGAGCAGGGTCCTGCAAGAGGAGGATGGGCCTCCGGCTGTCCCTGGGGTGCTGAGGACACTGTGCGAGGCCGGGTCTGGGAGAGCCGGCCACGGGGCGGGGTGCTGGGGGAGGCTCAGGCCTGTCCCCCCGCGGACCTCTTTGGGCGCTGTGGGTCACCTGGGCTACACTTGCACCAGGGTGCCTGTGACCTGTGCCACAGGGGCCCCCTGTTTTGAGTATGAGCATCCTTTTCCAACGCAGAGTGATTTGTTGGGGCTCCCAAGCGACAGGAGCCACAGCTCCGGTGACAACTGCTCATCCGCCCGCACACAGCTTTGAGGAGACTGCCGGAGCCGAGAGGCTGCCCTGGGGCTCACAACCGGAGTGGGCTCAGCACAATACTGACATACACAAGCCGTTTTCACATACTTTCCAGCTTTTTAATTTCACATTGTAGTGCATTTTTCTGTTCGGTGAAATGTAAATTTGCTAAAGAACCGTGTCTTCTACTTGTGTGAATGCCTCCTCCCCACCCTACCAGCCAGCAAACTGCAGATTCATGCCCAGGGGCATCCCCTCCACTCGAGGATCTACCTTCCTAGGCCTTCTTGGCACCACAGCACGACTCTCCAGGTCAAACCGAGTCTCCCGTCCTCCCAACTCCAGGAGTACAGCCAACCCGCACCTGACAGCCCTCCAGGAGGACACAACCCCACCACTCTCACGTACCTTCAAGCACCCCGGATTTCTCCTGCAACCCCTCCCACCCCGCCAAACTTCACTTAAAGCTCTTGCCTCTGTCTTCCACCCCCGGGCCATGTCACTCATGCCAATGGTCTGGGAACTACCCGGCCCACCCATTGCTGTGTGTGGCCTTGACCATCTGCTTGGATGGAGATGGTCACACTGCAGGAGCTGGTTCCCCACCAATTCACTCCAGCCTTTCGTGAGTAGCCCAGGGCACTTGGATGAAAATAAAACAACAGGATAGCAACACTAGAGAAAGAGCCCGAAACATCAGAGAGTATACTTCTCCTCTGCTCTTAACTGTGTTTATTACATTTGTAGAGTGCTTTATACTTTAAAACAAACACTTCCGTATCTGCTTCCCATTAGATTACTGAGAAGCTGTGTGAGCAAGGGAGGCCCTTACTATGTCCTCCATGACGCTCGAGCAAGCAGCACCCAGAGCCTGCACACAGGGCCTTTGTCACCTGGCATTCGGTAAATTGTACCAACACTATGACCCAGTAATAGGCCATGGGACATAGTCAACAATATGTAAGGAACAAACAGTAACAGCACAATGGCCAAGCAACTCTTGTGTAGAAATGACTAATGCAGGGCGCCTGGTGGCTCAGCTGGTGAAGCGTGTGCCTTCGGCTGAGGTCATGATCCCGGCCGGGGTCCTGGGATCGAGCCCCACATCGGGCTCCCTGCTCCGCGGGGAGTCTGCTTCTCCCTCTCCCTCTGACCCTCCCCACCGCTTGTGCTCTCTCTCTCTCTCTCTCAAAAAAAATAAAATCTTAAAATAAATAAATAAATGATTAATGCAATAAAAACTGCTGGACTTGGTATTTTATCATTATGAGTAAGCAGCTCGGTGCTCCTTCTCCTCTTCATACTAGATAACACCTAGTGAGTTCTGTCTGTCTGTGTTCATTGTTCTCAGACTTTATATTTATGAACTCATTAATCCTTGTATGAAGCCCAAGTGTTAGAAAGTGGTTTCTTTTTTTTTTTTTTTTTAAAGATTTTATTTATTTATGAGAGAGAGAATGAGAGAGAGAGAGAGCACATGAGAGGGGGGAGGGTCAGAGGGAGAAGCAGGCTCCCTGCCGAGCAGGGAGCCCGATGCGGGACTCGATCCCGGGACTCCAGGATCATGACCTGAGCCGAAGGCAGTCGCTTAACCAACTGAGCCTCCCAGGCGCCCCAGAAAGCAGTTTCGTCCCCACTTTACAGATGCGGAAACTAAAATACAGTAAAATTAAGTAACTCGGCCAAAGTCCCATGCAATTCATGGTGGTGAGCTCCGAATTCTGACCAAGGCAGTGTGGCTTCAGGGCAGGTTTTCTGACCAATACGCTACACTCTCGTGTAACATCATTTAGAAAGCTGCTTGGAGGGTCTTCCATGTGACCCCGCTGGTACAGAACACCACCTCTGTGATAAAAAGTCAGAGCAGTAATGGCCACCATTTACATAACCGTGGTAAGTAACATACAAAATTAAGCTGTTAAACACTCACCCCAACCCTACAAAATACTATTTTCTTCATTGTGGAAATAAAAAACAGGACCAAGACCATGGGGCTCAAAAATGGCAAAGCTCCTATGAGCCGGACTCTATTCTGACCAAAGCCTATGCCCTCCCTCCACACTTGAGCATCTTGGCATGTGCTCTGGATTGGCTGGAATCCACACCTCAGAGCCCCGCGGCATCCCTCCCTGCAGTTCCCTCTGCAGGGAGGGAGAGAAGATGATGCTCTGCAAAAGTTACCCATGAGGAGGAGTGTCCACGTGGTTGAAACAAGAGAAGAGAGATCTTTAAAATGCACTTCTATGTGCACGTGTGCACGCAGACACACCAACATTCAGCTACCACTGTGATCTGTTTACACGCTGCTTCGTCACTTATGTGGATCAACATACCTGAGACCACAAAGACCTAGGTGACAAAGCCTACTGTGCATACTTGTACTTAGCTAAGCATCACACATAACCAACAAGTGAAACCGTGACTTTGTGGGAGAAAGCTGTGCCTACAAAAATCGATTTGCCATTAACACCAGTAAAATAACTACCAGCCTTTTTACATTGTAACTTTTACACGTAAGGGAGAAAACCATATACCACAGGGAGGTATTTACATAACGTGGTCATCTGATTACGATAAAGCAGATTCTAATTACCTTGACAGAATCCAGTAAACTCCTAGGAAAAAATCGCTTCAAACCAACATCTTTTCTGAAACATAAAAAGAAGCGTATTAACAAATAACACCACCAAATCAATTAATATAATGACATTGTGGCAAGAACATAAATGCAATTTAAATTATTTATCCTTCCATGTATTATTCAGGAAGGGAGGAAGCAAAATAAAGCTCCAATTTACCAGCACAGTCAAGGAAGGGGTGGGACACATCATTTTCTAGATATGAGTAGAAAACACCAATACAAGTTGCTTTCAGTAGAACATCTTTTTCCTGTTTTAACCCTCACTGCTGAAAACCATTCTATAATTGTGCCTCTTGGCAGATGGCAATGTCTGAGTTCACAGTGCTTTATAAGGTTTGCCTTATAAATACCAGTTCCTACTGGGTGACATCGTATTTGTAGACACAGCAGACTGGCCAGAGTAGGAAAAGGTGTGGGATATACCATGGAAGCTTAAATAAAATTCCTTGAATTAATCCTAAAAGTTGACTATTTTTTTTAAGTAAACTTTTTTTGATTAAGGAATTCATTCACCTAACCAAAGTTTATCATCTCAGTTTCACATAGGAAACTAAAAGTGAGAAATTAGATGATTTGCTTAAAGTCAGAAAGCTAAAAGTGTGGAAGGTTGGAAGTCCCAGTGATTTTCTTTAGATCAGGCTACAGAATTAATCATTACTATTACAAGACTCAAAACACTCTGGCTAAGCAGACAGACCAGAAAAACCAGCTCATTCTCTTCCTACTTCCTTTGGTACCGAGTATGTCGGGATTTTTGGTCACTAGAGGGCCCTTGTGTGCTAGTAAAATGAAACAGCCTTTGCAGCCATCAGGGAAAGTCCGGAGACAGGTGGAGGACATAAAAGGATCAAGAAGGAGTAAACTAAACAGTGGCATCTTTTCAGAATTACATAAGGAAACTATAAGCTAAATAGAAAATATTTTTAAAAATACAAAAGGGATGACTTCTTTATCCATGATTGTTAAGTTAGCTGGCATTATAAATGAAACTATAGAAATCACATGGAGTTTATATGGTTGATCCCATATCCAAACATTTCAACCCCCTATTTTATAATCTGACTACTAGTTAGTACTTGCTAAATCCAAAACTGGTCTCGGTCCCCATTCTTTTTCATTGTTAGTATGTTCATGACAGGCTTCTGAAATTCTTTCTCGACTTCCAGGACACACTGTTTCCTGGTTCTACCTACTAGTTAATTCATACAACCCTGGTTTTCCATTTATTTTTCTAACTACTTCGCTTTGTAACTTATCTTTCCAGATCTGCATCATCTACTGTGACTACAGGGTGTCAAAGAGGGCGAAGTGTCCCCCCAGGGTCTTCCCTTTCTTGCTGCCTCCTAAACAGACAGGGACTTTGCACTTAAGGGTTTGGGTGCTAGCCACTGTGGGAAGCAGCACAATAAGCACGTAAAGAGAAACAATGTAGAATTTTTAGGCACCATTCCTGAGCACTGTCTCCCCTATTTTCCTTTCTGGGCAACTGTTCCATACTAAAAAGCACTTTTCATACAGAGAGCTCTGGGCTGGAATCTTCACTTAGCCACAGGATGGATCTGGCTATTACTAAATACCTATAAACCTGAGGTTATCTATTTGTAAACTGGGAATGCTAAATCCTGCTGCAAACGGTGATGCTGAGGATGAAATAAGAGTGTGTTAAGTCCCTACAACTCTTTCCTCCAGAAATACCGTAGGCGTCCTCCTGTCCGGTGAGAGTTTGGTCCACATGCCTGGCTCCCTGTTGTTTGAGCAGAAGGAGGTGGGACTCTTCCACCAGAAGCAGAATATACACTGGGGGTCGGGGGAGGATAAAACCGGAAGAGCAGGTGGGAGGAAGGCTGGCAGGTGCCCAGGGAAGAGGCGGTGGGAGGGCAGGTAGCAGAGGAAGCGACAAGGAAAGATTCAAACCTGTGGAGCGCCCAATGACTGGACACGTGAGAGCACTCCATGCACTGAGAAGGGGAGGCTGGGGGTGGGATCTCTTTCAGATGTGTGGGGTACAAGCAAGGTGTATGTGGCCTCCTAGTGCGGATTTCAAGGAGGCAGTTGGCCCCCAAAATGGATGAGGGGGACGTCCCCTTCCCAACTGTGAGACCAGCGTCACCATTAGTCAAACAGGTAATGCATCTACTTTTCTTAGAGTCAAGTGGAAAGTAAAGAATTTATCACACTCATTTCTGTCACAAATGGGGAAATTAAAGATGGACCCAAAGGGTTGTATGTTTCATGAAAAATGAGAGAGGGCATACTTCTGTGAAAACGAAGCCTATTTCTAGGTGTTACTTTTATTTCCAAGATGAAGACAGCTCCATTTGGGGGGGGCGGGGAGCTAAGGTCAACTAATGCTGGCAAGTATACAGTTTAGTTTTTCTATTTTTGAGCAATGGATTTCTAACATTTGTCCCTATCTTAGACCTCTTTTAAATGTGACACCTGGGGCACCTGGGTGGCTCAGTCAGTGAAGCGTCTGCCTTCGGCTCAGGTCATGATCCCGGGATCCTGGGATCGAGCCCCACGTCAGGCTCTCTGCTCAGTGGGGAGTCTGCTTCTCCCTCTGCCCCTCCCCCTTCCACTCATGTTCTCTCTCACTCGCTCTGCTCTCTCTCAAATAAATAAATTTTAAAAAAATCTTTAAAATTTTTTTTAAAAATCTTTTAAAAAATGTGACACCTGGCAAGTAAGAAACTAAAAATGAGGCTGAAGTATGCAAAATCATTGGAAAAATTCAACAACACATATCCATTAATCAGGAAGCCAATCTACTCTAGGCTTCCTGGTGGAGGATGCCGAGGAACCCCAAGGAGCATCTCGGGTGCTGCGTTCACAGTTTTAGGGAGAGCCTATTACAGACATCCAAATTTAAACCCTCTCCTAGGACACCCAGCAGGGACAGGCAGCCTGTCCCACTTTCAATGTGAGGCTGCCTCTCCGAGCTGTGTGTGTCTGGCACTGGGTGACAGCGTGCCCTCTGATGTGTAGCAGTTGAGTCTTTAGCTTCCTGTGCCATAAAACTCATCTGAGCCCAAATTCTACACAAGTGTGAGATGATGTGAATCAAACAATAAAAACTACTTATATGTCTTCCACAAAATACAACTACTGGCCTTTATTATAATGTAATTCTTTACTAACACAAACACTTGTCAAGGGGTAGTTCCTCACTGGACAAAAATCTAGCTACATGAAACTTTTAGAATACGGCCAAACCCCAACTCCAAAATTCAAGCATTAGGTTGCTCGATTCCCACACGCATTCAAAGGAAACTTCCAAACCCACACACAGCTGACAAGCTATTAGCATCAGGTGAGAGCTGCACCGTTCACTGCAGTAGCCAAGCAATATATACTTAAGTTAGCTCAGATTAATCTAAGAATCCAGTTCCCTGTCATGGTGGCTGCATGTCAGGGGCTCAGCGCCTTACATGGGGAGGGGCTGCCTCGCAGGCCAGGGCGGAAAGGACATTCCCACCATGGTGGGACGCTGCGCTGGGCTGCAGCAGGGAACCCAGGACGGCAGGCACCCCGACTCTCCAGGGCTCAGGACCGTGGCTCGAGGGCTCCTCAGTGAGCGCAGGGGTGAGCGGAACGGACGGACGCTGGGTACGGCTGCCCACCCAGCACAGTGACCACAGGATGACCATGCAGCGTTCCAACCCCTGAGACGAAGCCCTGCAGCCGGGAGGAGGGCGTCCCGGGACGATGTGGCAGCAGCAGGGCAGCGGACCTCCAAGCTCTGCGCCTCCATGTCTCAGGGCTGACCACCCGCTTCCAGGCTTTCCCCCTCCACAGCCCACTCCCCATGGAGAGCTGTCCAGGTACGCAGGCGGCAGTCCTCACCACCTGCAGCCTCTCCCTGCCACCCAGGTTCTACCATACAGCAGGATGAACTCTCCAGAGCGCACCAGCTCCTGCCTGGAGACTCCCAGCCTCTGGCCTCGTCCTGCACACATGCATCCAAGTCCACTGATACCCTAACACAGCAGGCTTGGGAGACCAGAGTACGGAATAAGCTTTAGTCTAAGTAAATCCTTATGTCAAAGATAAGTTTATTTCCCCTTTGGCACCACTTCTGAGAAGACCATGGCCTCATCTGTTGGCTTTGGGTAACTAATGCTCTGTGGACATAATTCTTCAAAGATTTAAAGCCCAGGCAAAAAAGCAACCGAAACTGATGTTAAAATACAACTAAAATGTGCATTTTCATACAGGATCCCTATTTTATCCTTGCCCTGAAACTCTGAGTATCTTTAATATAAAAATACCACGGAGATATTTAACTTCTGAAATACCTTAAGCCTCTTAAAAACTGATAAATATGAAAGTTCTCTAACTGCAGTACAGACTGCTATGCACTTCTGAATGGCATTCTCTCCTTCCTCCTGGGTAATAAGAAGTTGTCTTCTGGCCAGGCACAGTACTATGTTCCTCTCCTGTAGCCAGCTGTGACCACGTGACTACGACTCAGCCCATGTCCCTCTAAGGGAAAGTACTATGTACACACCTGTGTCCTTGCAGGGAGGGGAAAGAAAGAGGATGCCCATCTCTTCCTCCTCTGGGAGGTTGGAATACAAATGTGACTGGTAAGGTCCACCAGCCATCCTAGGTCATGGGGGGGGGGGAGGGGGGCATGCTATGGATGATGGGATGGCAAGATTAAAGAGGCCTGGCACTCTGGGAGTGCCTGGGTGGCTCAGTCGTTAAGCGTCTGCCTTCGGCTGAGGTCATGGTCCCAGGGTCCTGGGATTGAGCCCCGCATCAGGCTCTCTGCTCAGTGGGAAGCCTGCATCTCCCTCTCCCACTCCCCCGGCTTGTGTTCCCTCTCTCGCTGTCTGTCAAATAAATAAAATCTTAAAAAAAAAAAAAAAAGGAGGCCTGGCACTCTGGTGATGAGGAACGGCAACTGCCTAGGATTTGTTTTGTATTAAAGAGGAATGACCTTTTATCTTAGTTAAGCCACTGTTAATTCATGCCAAATCCATCAGCATCTTCTTTTATGTATCT